TTTTGGTTTTTTGCCAGTACCATGCTGTTTTTATCACAGTAACTTTGTAGTATAATTTCAAGACAGGGATTATGATGTCCCCTGTCTTCTCTTTGTTGTGCAGAATTATTTTTGCTATTCTAGGTCTCTTCTGGTTCCAAATGAATTTTAGGATTATTTTCTCTGATTCTTTGAGATATACTACTGATATTATGATTGGGATTGCATTAAATCTGCATAACAATTTTGGAAATAGGGTCGTTTTCACTATAGTGATTCTTCCAAAAAAAGAACAAGGGATATCTTTCCATTTTCTGACATCCTCCTTGATTTCCTTTTTCAGAGTACTGTAGTTCTTCAATGTAGAGATATTTTACTTCCTTCATTAGATTGATTCCTAAGCATTTCATTTTTTGGATTGTGATTGTTGATTTTGTATACAGCTATGCTACTAAATTTGGTTATTAAATCTAGGAGTCTTTTGGTGAAGATTTGGTATCTTCTACATTCAGTTGAATTAAAAAAAAAAGTGGTCCTTTTTAAAGGGCAATCATCTGTCTTGTGGGATCTCAACAGTTTTTACCCTAAGCCAAGCATATTCCCTGCTCCCTCCTCTTGTCTGGGCTTCACTTTGATGTGATAATAGACCAGTTTCACAACTCCCTAACTTGTGAGTGCCCAGGGCCTCCCTTCCCCCACACCACCACAGGGGACTTCACTCACTAATTTGATGTGCCCTCCCTCATTCTTGGTTAGACGCCCTACCTGACTGAGTCTGACCAGATGGCCGAAGTTATAAACCTGTCATTTTTAAGTAACTGTCTCTGTTTGAACTCATTTCTTCCTGCCACAAACTTTATAAAAGCCTTTGTAGTACTGTCTCTGGGGCTCAGAAGTTACAAAGTGTGAGCTTCTCTGAGCCAGGCTAGCCAAATAAAGGCTTTTTCTGTCTCACTGGGAGTGCGTGCTTGGTTCCTTACACCATCTAAAAATGTCTGGTATCCTGTTTTCCATAACAAAGTATCATGCCACCTGTAAATAATGATAATTTAGCTTCTTTCCTATCCTTATTCCTTTTATTTCTCCCTCTTGTCTAATTGTTCTGTCTAATGCTTCCAGAACTACATTGAATAGAATCCATGCCTTGTTCCTGATTTTAAAGTGAAACCTTTCAGTTTTCTGACCACTTAGTATGATGTTGGTTGTTGGTGTGTCATAATGGCTTTCATCAGATTGAGATAAAGACCAACTATTCCAATTTTCTGTAGGATTTTTTTAAAATCATGAATTGGTGTTGGACTTAATCAAATGCATTTGCTGTATCTATTGAGATGATCATATGGATTTTGCAATTGGCTCTGTTAACATGGTATATCACATTTATTGATTTGAATATGTTGAACTATCTCTGTATCCTTGGAGTGACTCTTACCTAGTCATGGCTCATAAACTTCTTGATGATTTGCTGTATTCTGTTTGTTTGTATCTTCTTGAAAATTATTGTCTCTATGCTCATTAGGGGAATTGGTTTGTAGTTATCTTTTTTGGTTGGATTCTACTCTGGCTTGATTGTAGGAATGAGTGTAGGAGTACTGCCTCCCTTTCAATTTCATTAAAGAGTTTGAGAAGTAGCAGCGTTAGATCTTCTCTGAACATCTTGTAGAATTCAGCAGTGAATCCATCAGGGCTGGGGATTTTCTTTCTTGGTAGTTTTTTTATTGCTTCTTCAATTTCATTGACTGATATTAGTTCATTTAGACTTTTTATGTCTTCTTTTTTTTTT